CTCTTTTGTTTCATATTGGTTATCAAGTATTTGTAGAGCTACTGCTTAATTAACATTTATTCATATCGATCAGGTTAAAACAAACAGTAGGAACCATGATTGGGGAATTTCCATCGTTAAAAACTCTTATTATAGTTAAATGCCCTCAGCAAATTAGAAACACATTTTGCTTTCATAGCTTTTTTTGTTTCTTAAAATAAGGTTTTTTTACCACGACCATCTATCAGAAACGTAATTATTATTGACGATAATACAAAATTAAGCCAACTCACGACCTTTTTTCTGTATTTAATTAGAAGATTAAACCTTACTTGATTTCAAACTTACTGGATTTGCCGGTGTCCAAATCCACCGTTTGTTTCTTGATGTAAGATTCGTTTTTACCACGACCATCGATCAGAAACGTAATTATTATTGACGGTAATACAAAATTAAACCAAACCACGACCTTTTTACTTAGTTTAGTTAAAAAAATAACCTTACTTGGCTTAAAATTTACTAAATTTCCCTGGTTTCCCCATCCTTTTTTTTTCTTTTGTTACTATACGTTTTTAACGCAATCATCGATCCGAACCGTAATTATTACTGATAATTATTCAAAATTAAACAAAATCATGCCCTTCTGTCTTTGTTTAATTCTAAAATTAAACCTTACTTAATGTAAAAATCACAAAATGCAGGTGAAAAGAATAAACAATGGTTTAGCAGCATATTCTATAAGATTAATTTACCGTACAACTATTTACAAATAAATTGATAAAATGAAATCCAGGTGATTCGATGTATGTATATTGTCACATTACACGTAAATATCCTTATTATATGACATAATTATCTTAAAATTGGATTTTCTTGCGGTATGATTAGCATTACTGTTAGTCCAGTAACAACATAAACAGGACGGAAGATTTAGCAGTCATCATTGAGACATTAAACATATATTCTGACATAGTTGAACTTTCTTTAAAAAAAAATTATTTCAAGGAAGGAACATAACAAACTCATAAAGTAATTCAAGGAAGCTGATACACACAGAATACACATATTGAAACAAGACTATAAATAAAACTATGTCTAAATTCCTATCTATTAGCATATTTTAAAAAGGCTAACTCACTGGGGTAGGGCGGATGAGGGCAATAACGTGTATCGCGTCGTCGAACGTCAATGTCCTGATATGAACGATTTTATTTAACAGCGTTGTGAACTCACAAGGCACCAACCTGACAACTGATCCCCTCTCCGTTGGCGGCTGTTTCTCATTTCGGGCCAATCGGGTGCAAAAATTAACGCCCCTTGTTAACATCGTGGATTATTTGCACTCTAGTACATGGGATACCTTGTTTTATCTTTGCTTCAAAAACGAATGGAGAATGAGGTCTGAGAATAAGTAAATGGCCCGGAGGCATTGGGCGGAAGTGGCAAAATGTCTCGATTTGTCAATTGTTAATGTCATGATAGCACCAAAAACAAAGTCTTAAATAATATTTATATATTATTATAAAACATTTATATTAATATAAAACATCCGAGATAAAAGTGATTTGAAAATAGCTTCAGGTTATCTCTAGGTCTTCGTCAGAATGTCAAAGTAAGGCTTTGGCGGTAGTGGCAGGTGATGGAATCTTGGTGTGGAATTTTTGAAAGCATAAGTTGACAAAAGGAATGCTGACGCTGTTGTGGATAGAGGTTTGTAACGTAGTACGGAGCTTTGACAATTTGTCTGAGGACTTTTAATTGGAAGGACTGGATGCACTGGATATGGACGGCTTGGAACCCACAGTTCCCATTCGTCTGTCCAAAATAGTCTTATACGTATTACATGTATTAGTTGAGTTGTGTCCATCAAAATACGTTTCTGTCCTAAAGGTCTTTGTACAAGTCTGATGTCTTGGTATACGTAAGTTTCAGACTTGAGTGTAAACCGCTAGCCATCTTGTTGATGTACAGTAAAGGACAAAACTTTTTTATAATGTAAATGTACACTATATTTTTGCCAGCCACCAGGCTTTGATAAACTCAAGGTGTTCTTGGATGTCGGGCGTTGCTTGGATAGGATTGTAGTGACATCACCATAGGAGGTTAATGATGGTATAAGGAAGTATAGGAACGACAGTGGATGGGACCAAGGATATGGTAAAAAAGTGAGTGGGTAGGAATTTTATGTTACACAGGATGCCTGGGAGACAAGATTCTTTAAAAAGGAACCCTTCGGACATAGAAAGAAGATGGGTCTGTAGGAGGTTGGGAGGTTTATGTGCATTAGGAAAGAAAATGATATAAAATGCTAAATGGTTGAAAATACTATGTTCTAATATGTTGAGGTCGTTGTGGACAGTGAGGTTAGTGACGCAGACAACCTGCGGACTTTTGATTGAAAGGATAGGACTTACTAATGGATGCCCCAGAGTTCCACTCCAAACAGATCTCGGTCCTAACAGTTATTGTAATTGTCCTTCTGTTAGTTTGTTTTCTCTTACGTGTAGGTCGTCCTAAATAACTGACTTGGGTGGAAGTCGGTAGCTACTTGTTGCTGATCTACAGATCTAATGACAAGACAGCTTTTTCAATATAAAAGTACACTAGATAAATCTTTTCTCATTCAGTCTTATCCTCCTCCATTTTTGCTCCAGTCTTTGATAAGCTCACAGCTTCTGGATGTTGGAGGTTGTTTGAATAGATTCAGGTTAGAAGACAAAATTGCGTTATTATCTAGGATGTAATGATGATGCTAATATGTATATTAAAGTCAGCAGTAAGTTATATAAATGATTGGACCAAGAATGCTCCCTTGAGGGACGTCGGCCTGTTTTGGTATCCGAAAACTTGGTGCAGCACCTCACTCCGAAGAAGCTGTTAATCAATAGGAAGGAGTGAGTAGGAATCGTTTATGTTCATAGAAAATGCTTGGATGCCAAGACTTTGAAAAGGAGGTTTTTCCAGGATTTTGGACATCACAGGAAGAGGGTGCGTCTGGAGGATATTGGTTTGTATGTTTGTGTGCTTTAGGAATGAGCATTATTTGATTATTTAGAAAGAAAAAAAAAGCATGACTTGATTATTTAAAAAAAAAAAAAAAAACAGGATAGTGAATGGTTGTACTACAGCCTTCTGAGAAAAGTTTCGAACTACAGTAGAGGTAATTAGGTCATATCCAAAGGATTTTCTAGTTAGGGATTTAAAAAGCTTTATACAGAAGGTTGGGGACTTAAATTAATAAGAATTAATTATTTTAATAATTCTTGGATGTTGCTTCTTTAGGATTAGCGTTAGAAGACATAATTGCTGCTTCATCCGCATAGGTAGTTGGGATGTAGAGTAAAGTCATTCAAAACGGAAATATCATATGTTAAACAAACCCAAAGCGTATACCCTTTATGTAATACAACTTTCATTACATGTATTCCAATATTATCGCGTTAAGAATAAAATGGAACTAACCATGGCTCAACCAATGCCATAAATAAAACAATTTCAAGGGAAATGGAACTTGGGCAATGAAAACGTATTGCCACAGATTCGTGTGAGGAAGGCAGTTGGAAAAACTTCATAAATCCAATAATAAACCAAACCCCCTTGATATGGGCTGTTATCAGAAAATTTTCAAATAGAGTGAAGACCCTAGCACAAATACCCAAATAAAACTATTCTGATGAAGAAAAACCGTAGAAATATACAGAACAAACCCAAGACACATTTCAAGAATCAACAATTGAGGTATACTTGTAACAAATGTAATAATAAACCTATATAGATGTTTAGTAGTCAAAATTGACTGTATTAATTAATTAAATTAATTACACCTTTTATGTAAGCTGTTGGTTGATATGAAAAAATTAGCGTCACGAGCGGGATTCGAACCCCTAAGACCTACGGCCTTGCAATAATAAAATAAAATGTAAAGCACGACAAAGTTATCAAGTAAAAGATGTCTCAAAATGATTGTAAATATAGATTTATGAGCCATAATTATGACAGGCAGCAATAAAAAAGCAAAACCAAAAAATACACTCTCATTTATTTCACGTGGACACACACATTACGCGATGCTATTAAAAGAAAGAACATACTACTTACAAAACCACCGTTAGATGGGTTTTTGTTAACAAACTAAGCAACCTCATGTATAAAATAAAAGCAACGGACGACACAGCTCCAAAATAACTGTTCCGATTGACATCTTTCAACAATAGTCTCTGAACTATGTCACTCTTCGAACTCTGTGCGCACTACTTACAGACGGATCAATGAGAGCCAGTAATAAAATAATTAAAACCAGTTTTAAAATATTAGTGATAAACTTCACGGTTGGTGCGGATATCATGATATCAAAGAGATAATTCTGGAGAGCATGGTTCGATAATTAAGTAGGTTGGCTTTGAATCACCCAATATCAACTTTTAGACTATTTCATCAATCAACCATGAAACTGATATTTTGCAACAGGGAACTGTGTACAAAATGATTGACTGTTACCAGACGTTTTACTATTTTAAACAAATATTTAATTTAAAACAACGTTTTCATACAGAGTATACGTATAGGTCAACGACCAATCAATGGACATATACTGGCTTAATTAATATTAGTAGTATAATGAATAGGATCAACATGATGTTTTTTTGTAGAAAACTTTAACAATGGTAGAAGAAAAAATTGAATTGTAAGTTGTTATTAAAAAATATACGATTTTCTTTGGTTTTCCATATCTCTCTTTCGCACGCACAAGCACGCACGCGCATAGAAAAAAGCAGACCCAATTGATTGACTTATTTAAATTAAATTATACTAGTAGTATTAAGAGTATTAAGTTATTTACAATAAACCATTAAGCATTAGAAGGCAATGATAACTCGAAGCACTAAATAGCGTCTTTCTACTTTGTACACAAAGTAGTCAGATAAGGAGTTAGTACGTTTTATGTACAACGTGCGCGGCAAAAAAATTAATTAATTATAATAAAAACCCTTGGACCAAATTCGCAACTTTTCATTTCTTACCGTATGAAAAAACCATGGCGGCGTGAGTTGTGCCAAGAGTTCCAATAGCATCCGAGAATTTCTCTTTATTTATGGGCTTTTTTCAATACTTATAAATTACTATCGAGTGCGAATAGCACAATTTCGACCTGCAAAACAGAAATAGAGTGATACTCTGATAATCACAAGGTTCACACGCATATTAAATATTATTTATTAATAACGAAAACTTAATTTTATTATATAGAAGCATTATCTACTAAATATTATTAGTAAGAGAAAAAATATAATGGGCTTAACACTGATAAAGGGATTCTGGGGTGGGGGCGAGACTGTCGATCGTAGATTCCACACGCTTTCAGTGGTGATCTTCTTACTAAAATCGCTAGTACACAAAATTATATTTATTCGGAAAACAGAGAGAAGAGAGGGATAGAAGAGTGGAAAGAGAGATGGAGGGAGATAGGCAAAGATAGAGAGAGAGCGAGCGAAAGAGATGGGGATGCCAGTGATATGGATAGACAAAGAGGGAGTGGGAGAGAGAAAGAGATAGGCAGAGATATAGATAGATGCAGAGGGAGAGGGAGAGAGAGGAGAGAGCAGAGAGAAAGAGAGGGAGGAAGAGACAGAATGAGTGCTAAAAAGACAGATAGAAATATAGATTGATGCCGACAGTGCGAGAGAGCTCTAATTTATTCGGTTTTAATTCAGAGAGTTTTGTTCTAATTTATTAATCCTAGAAACGTTACATGGGCTTAGGACCCAGCCGATTTTATTGGGACCTTAATTGAAATAAATATATTACAGCCAATATTAATTATGTTACCTCCTACATGCAAACATTTTAACCAACTACTGTGACGAGCAAAGTGGGTTAAAATAATCAGCAAGATACCAAATCTATATTTGTTTTTCGACCATAAAGAAAATTAATACAAATTTTTGGGAATATCAAAAAATTATTACTTTCTCTTTAAAGAGCGCTTAAAACGAATCGGATGTTTTTTCAAAAACATTTTTTTTTATATGGCATATTATTATTGACAGAATGGACTAGTTATCGCATTTGTGTCGATCCGTGAATTATATTTTTATAGACTCCACGTAAAGCACGCTACGGACAATCAAACAGATCGAACGACCGAACTGAATGTGCCAAATACAACAACACAACGATTTCCCAATCGTGTTATTATAAAACAAATTACATGTTGTTAGAATTTAGTTGCTAATTACGACATAGAGACCTGGTAAACTTCCAATATTAAAATGATGCAATTTCATATTTCAATCAGTAAGACCGAACAAATACGTTATATTTCTTGGGTTTCTTTTCAGGAACTGGACAGCCATCGAACTCAATTTTCTCTTTATTGCTATCGATTTCTGGGGCATCAGCGTCCACTCATCATTCTCATTTTCCTTTTTGGAAAAACGACTAAAACAGTTTCTCAATGAAAAAAGAAAACGAGACTGATGAGGGGAGGCGCTGATGCCCCGGAAATCGATTTCAATAAAAGAAAATGAGTTTGATGGTTGTTTAGTTCCTGAAGATATATAAACCAACCGGAAAAGAAGAGTAAAAAATATAAAAATATGTTTAATGTCCACAAATGCCATTTTCTATAAAAATGAGAATCGATGTATTGATGAGTAACATAAACTTTTTTGAATAAAAAAGGGGAAATCAAATATATTATAAATAATTTAATAAAAACAAATGCCACTACATTAATATCCTTCAATGTAATATTAAACTCGGATAAATTTATCCTTGAGGTTATTAATACTCCAGGCAAGGTATAAAAACTTTGGCTTTTGTATGATGAAAGTCTTTTAATTTGTTTTCCATCTATCCGAGCTAAAACGCAAAATATAATGTTCATTAAACTTTAGGGATATTCAGTTTTATTAACGCAGGGGGGGGGAAAGTCACATTCTTGAATATTGGCCATATTAAAAATAGCTATTGTTTCCCGATTTTTTGGCCGGCAGCTCAAAAGCATATAAAAAAGGAATAGGCGATTAAAATCTCGGCCAATAGGGGCTCGAAGAGATTTAAATTGTCATAAGAAATTTAAATAAACCGTCAGCTTATACCATGGAAAAATGTGTGCTTTAATGTTTAAAAGTAGGCCGAAGAATTTTCTTACCAAAAAATACAAATTGTGGTCATTTTTTACAAGTACAAATATAAAATTTTTCGTTTCTATGTTACGTATGACGAAAAAGTAGGTCTTTCAAGTTCACTCTTAACATTGGTTAGTAATACAATTTAAAACTTTTCACTAAATTCACAAAAACAAAGATAATTTCTAAAAAGAAGTCTCTAAAATGGGATTTTTTCAAAAACACCGGCACCCTGAGGGTTGATAAGACCTCTGCTGTTGCAAACCCTCGTTAAAAAGAAAAAAAAAATTATACATATATAACTAAATGTTTATGTTTTATTGGAAAGAATATAATTTATTAGAATAAATGTAATTTACTAGAATGAAAGGAAGTGGTTGTTTAACTCCGCCCCGAGGAATATCGAGTAATCTCAGGGGAGTGAATAAGACCAGTCATGTTTGTTATCGGGTGCTGTTTTATATTAATTTACTGAGAAAAATGTAATTTATTAGCGTGAAAGAAAGGGCTTGTTTAACCCCGCCACGAGAAATATCGATTACTGTGGGGTGAGTGTGAGACGTCTGAAGAGTAAAAGTAAGTTATTAGCGTGAATGGAGTGGGTTCGAAGGCAGAAAATGAAAAACAAGAAAATGAAATTTTTACGCTGAAAACAATGGTGCGCTCCGATTTTAAATTAGTCAACAAATGATAAGGTTATGGCAGAAAGTTTGAAAAAAAACAACAACCACATTTGGTTTGCTATTTATTAATCACATTTAATGTTCGAACTGCCTGCCTTGCGAAAGATGCAAAGATTTGATCTTTTTAAGCACTCTTCACCGGTGGTCAGAGCGATTGAGTCAGGATTGTATAGAATGATAAGCATTTTTTTATCATTTGCCGCAGTTCTTCAAACTTTTTGCCATATTTATTATTTTTTAACCAATTTAAAATCCGTTTGCACCGTTGTTTTCAGCGTAAAAAAAATCCTTGACAAAACCTCCCCAGAGGGCACTAAGTGGGTCTTTCTTCCCTAAGACAGCTACCCTCTGACTTCACTATATTGCATTACTTTAGAGAGGTATATAATATACACATATACGGCCAGCAGAGTTTTGCCTGAAATAATCAAGGGGAAAAATCCACTAGCGTTAACGAAATTTAGATTCCAAGTTTAGTTAAATTGACCCGATGACAACCGAAACTCTTTTGTTCAGTTTGGTTGTCCTTGATGGCGAAATGCCTAAACCAAAATCGGATTCTCTTAGGTGGAACTGGGAGGAAGATCCGACTTGAAAATACATCTACAACGACTTGAAAATACATCTACAAGAGAATTAGGATCAAATCATAAAACGAATTTTAGACAAGCGAAAATGGTAAAAATCTTCAATTTTTTGCATCTCCCAGAGGATCCTTGAATTTATTGGTTTAAGCCGTATTGAATGCTGTCTGAAGAATGTTGGCCGTGTTGATTATGTAAGCTCGAACCGATATTCGTACACGATTCGTGGGAAGTTTTTTCGCACAAACTCGAACTTGCAAACGGAGTTAATGCACCCTGGTTGAGAAGAAAAAGGTCGAGAAGAGGACTAAAATCCAAGAGTTTATTTATAAAATTGATAATCACATTACGCTTGGTAAACCATTTTTCAGCTCTTGGGCAACTGTTACATTTGTAGCCCTCGTTGGAAAATAAAAACAATTATCTTTTAAATTTATAATTCGAAGAAGTGCTTTAAAGACCTCAGATCTTTCCACTTTACTTCATATAATATCTACTTCCAATATGTAAACAGACAAATAAACACAGTATTATTATTATTATTATTATTATTATTAGAACTTTAAAGAGCCCTTTCTGAGTAGTCAGGCCTGGCAGAAACACAATTACAGATTGGTTAATTTTTTCACTTCTGACGTATTCACATTCTAAATATATATTTATCTTGCACTCTCTTTTCTTTATATACTGCAGATATAACCTATCGTTGATAAATGTTCAATGCGAGATAAGCATTAAACCGTATTCCACAGTGTGAATTTAGTTTAATTTATGCATAAGAGACAAATTTGAAAAAGTGGAAAATTATTAAGCATGAATCATCTACTAATTTATAAACAGGTTGGACGTTTTAACACAAAACCAGCCAAGGATAAAAGATATAACAAATTATATCGGAAGGTGAACTACCGGGAAAATGATAGCTACCCAAGGTTTTTGAGCCATGGTATACCAAAACACGGTGTCCTTACTAACCAGGTATCAATATATATTGTTTGGAATAGCAGATTGTGTAAGTTTAAAGTAAATTTAAAACATACCAACTTCATCTTTGGAAATGTAAATTTTAGCTCTTCAAATTTTAATAATGCAGAATATTAAATATTTTTAAACAACTGTGTACTGAAAGCGGTGCCTTATTAACAATAAGTCATAAGTCAATTATCGAGACTTTAGTAGATTGTAGAAGTACAATTTAGAACCTACCAGCTTCATCTTAGTGATTTTGTAAATTTAGCTATTCAAGGTTTGACAACGTAGGATGGATATTGAATATTTTTGAACCATGATTTACCAAAAGCAGTGTCCTTACGGATCACTATGACATTGTTAAAACTAGCAGATTGTAGAAGTTGGTGATTAACGTAAATTGTAGCCATTCAAGATTTAAAAACATTGAATAATAAAAGTTTTTAGCCATAGTGTACCAAAAGCGGAGCCCTTACTTTAACAATAAGTCAATATGACATTGTTGAGATTCAAGCAGATAGTAGAAGTTAAAAGTAGGATTTAAGACCTGCCAATTTTAGTATATTTACCGCCGAAACGAGTACCCTTGTCTCGTCTGCGAATAGGGCACACAAGGCTCATACATGGCCATCTTAGGTTAGGGTTAGGACGGACGCCCCTATCTGTGCCACGTATGGAGAGCTGTTACGATGAAGCATATGAAGACGGCAGAAAAAGCTTGAATACCATACCGTCTTCCGGAAATTCTGATAACTGCATTGCGATTGATATCTTAATGAAGTTTTTGAAGAAAACCAATCTATTTCCAAAAATATAAAATAGATGACCAAACAAATTAACATAAGTGAAATGATGATGTTTATACAATAAAAAAATGGCTAACTTGAGGGTGGCATAGCCCTGGGTCGAACCGAAGAGCGGTCCCTGGGATCTTGGGCTGGATGGGGCGCGCTCCTAGGGGATCCTTGGGCCATAATACATCCCCGGATTGGGAAAGAATGTAGATGGATGCACATCCTTCTGAACAATCTGTATAGGTAAGTATACAACTTTGTTACTTGGTACTCAATAATTGAAAAGGTGACCCGGGGTGTGCTGTACTGGGGCCTTGTATTCCTCCTGAACACCCCTGCCCCTTTACCTTCTTGAGTTCCACCAGATGGTACCATTCTTAACGGAGAGGTTTCTCCCTGTTTCCCGTTCTTTTTTGGTACACCAAAAGCAGTGTCCTTACTAACTACATTTAAATGTAACTTGTTTGCAATCGAGCAGAATGAGGCATGTTAATGTAGAAATTAAAATCTGCCAACTAGACCTTGGTGGTTGTTATAGCCTTTCAAAATTTAAAAACCCTGAATAATACATGTTTTTGAACCATGGTGTACAAAAGCAATATCCGTACTAACTGTACGTAAATATTGTTTGGACCCAGCATATTGTTGATCTACTATGGAATGTACTAGCAGAATTAATGATTGTGTATGAATATAAATGATTGTATATTTCTTAAAAGCAGATTCCACAATTTCATAGATTCTAACTGGAATATATTTTGGAAAACTAATATATCTTGCTTTTAGCTATGGTAATTTTCATTAATTTATCAATGAATAAATGAGTGGTAAAACCTTCTGGTGGTATGATTTAATAAAATGAAACCTTCAAACTGAGTGATGAAAAATGATGCAGTAGTGGTTGGCCACTGTCAGTTGGAGGGAGGAATAAAAGAAGCCCATTGGTTTATTGGCCTAAGACCTTAGAGCTACATTCTAAGGGGCGTAAGCAGCATTGACTCTGAACAGTAAGTACACAGGACAACTTGGTAATTAAGCTTTTAACTTTATTTATCCTTAATTTCATATTTTGTTTAAATAAATGAACGGAACCTGCAAAAACTTTATACAAAATACCTTTTGTAATTTTTTTTTTGTCTTCATGAATCCCAAGAAAATGAGTCACTTTTGAATAATTAAAATTTCAGCATTTCCAAAATGATTCATTCATTATGCCCGTGTGGTTTGTAAATTGTACTAATAGGGATTTTTTTTCTTTCACTCATTCCAGAGCCAAAATTCTGCCATCCACAACAAACAGAAGCTAACCTTGGTATAATCAATTTACAATTGTAAACCGTTAAGACAAGAGGTAAATAGCATATTTAAATTTCAAAAGTATATATTTAGACGTTTTAAGAGTATAACGAAAAGTATATTGATATACAGCATTGGTTATTTATAGTATTAAGTAACTTTGGTTTCATTTAATTTCTTACTTGTCCTAAGGACTAAATGTGATATGAAACCAAATTGTTCTAAAAATATAAAAATTTATCTCACTGAGGCTTATTACTGAATGCGTACTGCCAACTAGTTTACTACTTACTAAGACGAAACAAAATACTAAGAGAATATTACAGCATTTTGAATTGCAAATTTTCTTGAGACACTTATTATATAGTTTAAAAAATTAAACACTTACGAGAAGAACAAAATTATCTACCCTTGGAGCTGCCATGAGTGGAATAGACAATTTCAATTTTGTGAACCGAAGTGGCTCACAGGACAGAGTATTGTGCTTGTATAATTTAAAGTAAAAATATATTTACGAAAAGTCAATTTACATAAATATTCTTGGAAAATAAGCAACACGATCCCCCTTTCATTCTTTCTATATGATTCATACGAAAAATAACTAAAGAACCGCATTGTGATATTTTTCGATAACATAAATCAGTTTTATGTAAACAAGCAGTCAAAAATTTTAACCCCTATCTACACAGTGCATTAATCATTAGGAAAAATATATTGTTGGACAGTGTTACATTTTTTGAATGGAGTTCATACTAATATTTTATTATTGTGAAGTGATCCCTGGTAGACGACACCAAAAAGTGCAGTTGGACGTTAAGTCCTCTGTATGTCAGGAGTTAATTCATTAATACTTTATGCGCTGTCATCTCAACAGGTATTACACAAACTAATTTAAATATTTTAAGTGTTAGATGTATCGACCTCTTTTCTACTCACAAATAATCTGGATCACGGTGTGGTCTTGATGAAAAAGAAAATTAAATTCTTACTGCTAAGTTTTCGGCCTATTTTAAGGTTATCATCAGGGACACATAATCTTAAATAGGTCTACTAATTAACATAATTGAATTTTTCTCAGAAGATTTTTTAGTTTCTTTGTGTCCTTGGTAATGTTGGGACTGAATCGGTCTTCAATGAAATTTGAAATCGTATGTGAAAAACTTAGTTATGTCAATATTAGACATATTTAAGATTGTTTTGTCCTGATGATGACCTTAAAATAGGTGGAATGCTTGGCATTAACAACTGAATTTGCTTTTTCATCAAGATCATACAGCGATCTAGAGTATTCGTATATAAAATATTTATCATCATTGCCAAATTCCAAAAATTGATCGACAGAGAGGGCGATCGGTTTTTTCCATGAGCACGTAAAAAGCCACGTTTTTTGCTCAAAAATCACGAATAACTTAAAAACGGTTGAGAAATCGGGCCAAGTGGAATGTGACCAATTGAAAGCTTATTAAAATTTCCTATCCATTGCTAAAAGGTGTCGCACCAGGACGATTTCCTGGCTCCACAGCTCAATTGGAAGTTTTCGTAAAAAGTGCAAAAATTAAGATGCTCCGAATTTGCGAGTTTACTGATGAATGACTGAAGCTAGGAAAAAGCTTTAAAAAGCCATCTTGCTCAACGTAAAACTTTCTAAAAAATGAAGGCTTGCGCAGGTCTGTGGCCAAAATTGGCCATTTTTTCGTGCTGACCAGGTAGTCGGTCGGCTTTTTCGATGGCGTGTATAAATTCAAATCCAATAATAATTAAGGAAGATTAATCTATCAATTATATCGAGATAATATGGAAGCGAAATCGAGCATAAATTAAGCGACAAAACTGGAATAAGTTTCCAATAAACATTCAGTATGTACATAATGTCCAAAATGTATGGATCAACTATTTGGAACTCGTTGAACTTAACGTAAAAAGTCCGCTCTAGTTCAGTTTTGAAAAGCTTTAGGAAAGCGTAAAGCGCTTTCTAATGAGTGTGAAAAAATGTAAGTATGCATGCGTACACGCAACCACAACACCGCTATAATATCACTTAAATATTGTTTACACTTGTTAGAAATCGTTTTGCAAAACAAAACAACTGTACGAGAATTTATCTGCACAGTGTTGAACCTGCAATTTGGTCGTTATCGGTCATCCTTGGTCACCCTATCCTCGCTCAGTTGGGCCTGGTTTGTCTGAATATACATCTCCGAAATGCTTCTGACAGAACACAGCGAGGATTGGCATCAGGATGACCGGCAACCAAAATTACAAATACGAAACAAGTACCTGTCCTAGAAATCCCGTTGTAACATCACACGAGAAAAGAATATATTTTATTGTTGACCTCATTCTATTTAAAGTTAATTTTAAGGTTAAAATAAAAAAATGTTTACACTTAAAGTTGATTTAAAAAAGATTAACTGTAAATAAGATAATTTAAAAAAATTAGATTCTCTTAAGAGCGTATATACTTTCAAGTGATAAATCTATTATACACCTCAATGAAGACCTACATCAATCAAATACTTACGATTTTTTAGAATAAATAAATAAGCATTAAAAACCAACAAAAGAAGTAAAGCGAAAGGCTCCTCCCGTCATACTCAAAAGTGTTAAACAATTAATTGTGTTAAATGCGTCATCCGAGTCGGGTTTTCTGTATGTTCTTTGTTTTTAATATCGGCCGTAACGCTGTGAAAATTTATCATTTGTGAAAAAAAAACATCGTAGGAAACGATCAATCACGAATCCACCATTCCGTACATATTCCGAACAATGGTCTGAAACAACGTAACACACACATTTACGAAAAAAACAAAACAACGAACCGTATTGTAAGCCTTCGTCATTGTTTCGTCTTGGAGTTACTTCAAATATCATGATTTTCTAGTTTCTAGTTAGACACCAGTCTATTCGAGATAAACATTGGCAGACGACTTGACATGTGTCCTGTACAACAAAAACTATAAGAGATATTGTTTGGTAATTTTAAAACGCAAAAACCTAACATTTCCAATTGAACTTGGAAAGTTAAAACGAGGGATTTGAAAATAGTGAGACTTAGTGGCTCCGAAACGGGCAAAAATTCGACTCTATACATGGCATCCTATTTACTTTTGAAAGAGGACATGTTACATTATAGGACAACAATGAAAATAAAAAAATAAAACTACGAAACGCAATATTAAAAAATAGTTAATGGATTTTTCACATCCAACAGCTCCTTCTCCTCTGTTTGACTTGAACGATTCATACCTTAAACTTAAATTAGTAATAAAATATTTTTCGAATTTAAAAGGACATAAGAGACTTTTAAAACATAATTAATAATAACGTTCTATTATATTTAGTGAAGTCCTGGGCCAACTTGGTTTCAAAATAACCACATTACTCTCTACTTTTGTACTAGTGCTATTTATTATAATGGATACTTGTATCGCAACATCGTAGTTGTGAAACCGATTACTCCTGCTGTGCTAAAGCGCTAAAATACATTGACGGTGCTTATTATAGCCACAGTGCCTAAAGTCTGAATTCTTGTAAAAACTTTTTTTTTAGCACAGCGTATATCCAAGGGTGGTTATGAGCCAGAAATTTTTTTGTGTCATGTTTTACTTGTAAAATAATCCTTACTCTTATTTCTAATAAGAACAGAAGATGATTTACAGCGTTCTCGTTTTCTTTTTGCATTCATATGCAAGGGATATCATTTGAAAATCTCCGGCAAAACAAAATTAATGGCCTTTGAGAGCAAGTCCACGTGCGATCAAACACAACAGTGGCAAATTGCACTTTACCTTCCTTTACGAGTTTGGCCAATGGCGTGGGCCAAAAAATTGCGACAATTCAGAAGAACGTATGCCAAAATTGGGGAAAAAGTAGGAGAAGAAAACCTAGCCCTAATTTTGCTAAGTGATTGCATTCTCACTGGAAGCGAAATCTTGGACGCTAATACAATGTCAACAAACCTAACAGAAATCAAATTCTTACAGAAGGTCGAGAGGTACATTGATAGATTTGGGAATGTACTCGCTGATAGAACGAATCGTAAAAGGAAAGATGGCTTTACCACATCGAGCTAATAGAAATCTAATGTTCGCCGAGTCAAAGGAAGGCTACAACATTTGACGTGAACATGGAACAAGCTGCAGAGCCTGTCGTGTAGAAGAGAGAAAAATATCCAGATAGGAAATAAGGGACGCAAAGCTCAATATATAAGTAAAGAGGACGAAAATCTCCTCGCCCACAAAGAAAAATAAAATCCTATCTTACAAGCGTAAAAGCAAACGTGAAAATTTCCATTAATTCACTTGAAATCTTAAACTTCGCGACAGGCTTTGAATTGAAGACTATTTTTAGTATTTTGGGGTGGAAAGTCAAGCAGGTCGGGTTTTCCACAATGTCGCTAAGAAAGAGGAAGGACGCGACAACGATATTTGAGAAACCAGAACAGACTACAAGCACCCTAAAATAAGAAGAGAAAAATTTCCTCGTTCAGAAGGCCGAAAAGCTCAATATACCCAAGAGGAACGAAGTATCCTCACTCACATAGTGTGAATAAGATTCCAATTCTAAGCTAAAAGCAATCTAAGATTACCATCCATGACGAGTCAATATGACACAACTGAAAATTTCCCTCAATTGACTTGAAATCTTTTGTGAAGGTATACAGTCTGAAAAAAAAAAAGATTATTGGAGGACAAGACTCAAGCAGGCAGTGTTTCCATCGGGCACAAAATGAAAAGAAAACGACTATTATTGACGTCAAGATGGAACAAGCTGCAAGCCACTAAGTGAAGAAGAAGAGGAAAATTTCCACGTCCAGAGCTAGTAAGAATCGTAAAGCTCAATATACAAATGATAGAGGACGAAAGTCTCCCCGCCCACATAGTAAAAATAAAATCCCATTTTAAAGCGTAAAAGCAAACGTGAAAATTTCCATTAATTAACTTGAAATTTCAAACTTCGCAACAGGCTTTGAATTGAAGACTATTTAGCATTTAGAGAGTGGAATGTCCACAATGTCGCCGAGATAGAGGAATCTCTGAAAATGAAGAAAAAGGG